TTGCTCCCCTCTATTTAAAGACGACACCCCATGTGGAGATCAGGTTTCAGAAGTCAGCTGGAGGATACAGTCATGCAGGCGCAACACCTATTTAGCACTCCTATTTTAAACCCCTCCCTTCAGTGGTATCTTTGGCATTAATGTGTCACTCATGTCGCCTGCTAGTCTGACTTACTTTACCCTCCCATCCCCACACATAGAAGAATGTACAGGCTTGATTTTCAGTCATGACAATGTAAAAAAAGCAAATGCATCCTTTTCTTTTTTAATTGTAACTGCTATTTTCTGCAATGCAACAATTTTTTCCCCCTAATATCTGTCCACAGGCTGCAGAGACGAAGAACAAGGAACTGGAGGGGAGGATAGAGGGTCTTCAGTTGGACATAGACGACAGTCAACAAAAGCAGGGCAACATGAAGGGCGAGCTGAAGAAGTTCATGGATATTCTGGATGGAAAGATAGACGAGCTGCATGAGGTCAGGCAGGGGCTTTCCAAGCTAGGTGTTGATAACTGAGAAAAGTGGCACTGAGCTGAAAGGGTCAGAGGTCGGGTACGAAAGATTCACTACAGTATGTCTTCAGGGCAGAAACTATGTGGCACCTACTCCCCCCAAGGTGATGTCCACTCGGAAACTATCAGCTTTGGCTTCTAATAAACACTACCACGTGAGAAAGAGATGATTTTGGAGAGGGAGAGGGAGACTGGCAGATTAAAAGGAGGGAGGCCAGCATGTTCCACCAAATGGCTCCAGTTTGTATGCTGGCATCCTGAAACTAAATCAAGAGTCACACTTTGAGCTTACTTATCGGTTTCTGTGGGGGGAAACGGCTTTAAAAAGCTGGTGGCGGGTTCTTAGATTCTGTCCATCTGTCTTTTTTCTGAAGGCTGCAGCACTTCTACACAGGCAGTCTGAGCTTAGAGTAGAAGAGGGGACTTAAAAGGGCTAAAATGAACAACACACAAAGACAATGCTGTTCAGCATCACTCAAGTAATAATTGGTGTTAATCCTTGTGGCCCCCTCAGAGAATTAGAGATGAAATCTTTCTACAGACTGTCCTCGCTGTTGCCTCTCGTCTATCTCAGGTGTGTTAGAAGACAGTTTGTACTCATTAGATTATATGCACATATATAACGGCCGTGACACAAAGTGCCTCCAGGTGAGTCTAAATCCACCTGGCAAGGAGGACTGGCCAAGTGATGACCATCACCATAATAATAACTTGATGATTTTTGTGAGAATACCTGACAAAAAAAACAAACATCCTGACTAATAAAATGAGATGAAAAGAAGGCAGGCAGGCAAACCCATCCCGATGTCAGTGCTGTTAATGGATGTTAATGTGGTGAGAAACTCAAAAGGACACAACAGGTGTTTGCACAAAAACTCCTCTGAGAAAGGACTGCAGCAGGAATTCAACACTTCTCTTGTGGGTGTTTTCACTAAACAGTCCTTTTGATTATATTTGCATAAAGAAGGAAAACGCTCTCGTCTCAGGAGCTTTCCTTCAAAAATATCCAAAAATAATAATAGGAACCCCTTCTTGCCATGAGCGTAGTGTAGTGTTTAAATGACTGTGTGTGCAATAGTATTGGTGTCCATTTGTAGAACAAAGACGTACGTCTCCAAGGCTGTTGATGTGCTTCCTACACACTGGTTTTTGTTATGGTGGTGGTTATTTTTGGGTGAGGGGACTTGGTGCTGCTCGATGGGTGAATAATGTGACGGTGTACTTCACTGAAAACATTTAGATGGCATGGGCCTTTTCACTCAAACCCTGTCAGATTCTTGGTTTTTTGTTTTACATATTTATTTATTTTTGGTGCCTCTCTGCAACTAGTGTTTCTAGAACATACCAAGTAAATCAACGTTACCTTCACTTAATGTCTCCACAGATGTACAATAATATATAAACTATACCAAACTGTCAGGACTCAGAAGTTTTATATTGGAGGATTTGTTTGCAGGATGGTGTGACTGCTGCTTTTGAGAAGTCCACCTTGAAATGTGGTGCATTTGAACTCAAAGGCACATGTTCTAGTGGCATATTTACTGGGTTATACTATGATGTTATAAGTCTATATTTTTCATCACTGTTTTAATCTTGTCATAAGACTCAGATATATACAATTGGACTTTTTGCTTACTGTTCTCTCTCTGATTAGCTCTACTGTTCATAAGTCACCAAAATCCTGGATAACACAATGAATGATCCTTCCTTTTGAACCAATGCCTCTTGTGCACTTTTGTGACTCCTGTTCAATATTGTACAATAGAACTGACAATTGTTAAAATTTAGTTTAATTACAATGCTGAGTTAGTGTGTGTGTGTTTCTTCTTTTTTTTTTTTTTTTTTTTTAAGTTCAAGTAGTGGGTCACATTTTGGCCAGAGCGCCATAGGGAGAAGATGGAAGGTTTCCCTAATCCCCCATTTAGTTGCAAATCAGTATTGTGGGTTGTGTTTAGAAAAACTAAGATGCTGTTAAAGCTGACAAATGCGCTGCCTGACATCGTGAAAGTCTTGAGGCATTTTTCCTGGATGAGAAGCTCAGTGAAGGAGGTGGAATGAACCTAGAGCGGCAGAGCTTCATCCCGTCGATGCTTGAGTACAGAAGCTCCGCCACCGCACGTCTTTGTCTCTGATGTTGATTTACATAGCACTAAATATAGCTGTAATCCTAACAGAGACACACAGAACCGTAGCAAATGAGGTGGGATTTAATCGCCGTCAGTGACATGTATCAGTTTCTCTGAAATCAGTACAAATAAAGCAAACACACATCAGCTTGTTTGAAGGACGGAAAAACCCTCAAACATCCTCAGCACTGAAGACATAAATGCAGATCTGTGGATCAGAAGACATGTTGCCTTGGCAACCTAATCCCACTCACTCCTTTCCTTTTGTAAATAACAGTATGACTGATGGACTATAAGAAGTACAGATCCAGTGCCACCTTCCATCAATTAATTTGATAATTAGACAAGAGAGTCAGTCATCTTCCTCAGCCAATGAGACGCCTAGAAGCTGGTCTCCCTGAGTTTCTAATTTCCATTTTCACCCTCAGAGATCAGGTGGGCGACACAGGTACATCTGAGAGGAGAATTAATCAATATACAGTGTAAGCATCAATTTGGTTCTGAGGTGATCAGTTAATTGACCAATTAAGTGAGTTAATTGAAAATTAACTGTTGTAAAACTGCAGCTTATTATTTGAACTACTAAATAATCTGTTCGTTATTTTCTTTGGTTAATTACTTGTTTAGTCTGTTAAATATAAGAAATCATGAGAGAAGTCACCCAGGCCTGTTTATGATATTTTGAAATGGCTCCTGTCCAACCAACAGCACAGAATCCAAAGATATTTAATTTACAATGCTAATAAAACATTGAAACTGGAGCCCCAGACTGTTTTAGTTGATATGAAATGAGTTCAATGACTGATCAATGACATGATCCATTATCAGAATTGTTGGTGATTAATTCTGAAAACAATATAAGTTATTCGATTATTTAAAAAAAGGTTAGTTGCAGTCCTACTGAATACCTTTGAGGGATTTTTTGACTGTTGCTTGGACAAAACTTGACTCACTTTTAGCATTTTTTTAGCCACGTAACTTGCATAGCTCTGGGTTAGTCGGTCCACCAGTCTGGGCCAGACTAAAATATCTCAACAACTATTATATGGATAGCAATGAAATTTTATTCATTCATATTCTCCAGAGAATGAATCCTACTCACTTTGATGATCCCCTGACTTTTCATCTAGCGCCACCAGCAGGTCAAAATGTTCAAATTTGTCAAATACTTTGGTTTATATCTGCAAAACTAATAACATTCCCTTAGCTGTATTTTGTGTTTAGTACTAATTTGCAAATGTGATCATGCTAACATACTTAACTATGATAGTTAATATGGAAAAAACAACACCTGCTAAACATCACCACGTTAACATTGTCAGTGTGAGCATGTTAGTATGCTGACTTTAGCATTTAGCTTAAAGCAAATGCTTTGGCTTAGTACAGCCTCACAGAGCGGCTAGCATGGTTGAAGACTTTTAGTCTTACCTTTTGCTTTTATTAAATAGTAAACAGTGTGTTTGTTTGACTCTTGTTTGGACAGAAGAAAACTCTTGACTGTGGGCGAGGGATCCCGTCACTTTTCAAATCCGTCATATACTAAATTATGAATTAATTAAATTAAAAATAATAGAAACAATATGAATTATCAATCAAATTCAAATCACTACAGTAGCAGTGTTGCAGCAAAAACATTTCTCTCTCTCTGTCCTCTCCATACTGTTCATCGCTGTCTCTTTAATTCTCTCAGCAAAGCTCATTGTGTGACTGGTGATGAGTGGGCGAGTTGGTGAAACATCATTAAGAGACTATGCTGCTCTGTACATGTGTCTGAGAGAGAGAGAGAGAGAGAGAGAGAGATGGCACTGCAGGCCACTACCACGGAGACTTCCTGTTGCCATAGTAACAAGCTGCGGAATTTCATGTTGACGCTCGATCGGCGGGTTTGTCTCAAGACCTGCGTGTGTGTGACCTGCCTTCCATCTGGATTTCTGAATCACCATCATCTGAATCACCTGGATTTTACCAATGAATTACACCCCAGACAAATGCAGAGTGACAACGGCCCTGCAAACAAGATGATCTCCGAGAGCAGCCACAACCACCTCTGCTAGCAGCTGCTCTCTAAGTACACAGAGCTGAATAAACCCAATCACAACTGGCTGGGGATGTCTGAGCTGTCACTGCAGGAGAGAGATGCGAGAGCGACGCCTGCCAGGATGGATATTACAATATGACTCATCATCATCTGAGCTACAAATCGCCAAAGCACACTCACCGGAGTTCACCGGCACAGGTTGATAAGACTCTTTAGACGGCGTGACTCATTTAAAGAGCGGGGGTTTCATTGTGGCACAGGTGCAGCTAACCTGTGGAGATCAGGGAACAGCATGAGCAAAGAGAAAAGAATAAAAAAAAAAAAAAGCTCTCAGACCAACGAAGTTTGAATGAAAAAGAAATCGCCCACAGTTCATGTTTATGATCTTACATGTCATTACATTTATTATTAAAACACAGCAGTACAAGTGTGTTTCAGCCTCACCCGTCATCAGCCCACAGCTCGTCTGTAACACACTGGAATAAGTTTCATATCTTTGCAGAAAAAGAAGTTTTAAAGAAGTGCAATAATTAGTAATTTCTCCTTGAACCCATGTATTTTGTGCATAATACATTATAACTTTGTCTTTTTGAGAGGTTCAGGTAAGTCAAGTGCTCTGTCACAGGTTCAAAGGTCATAAGTATAAGTATGGAGATTGCCCTAAACAGTAACAATAACCTGTGAGCAAGCTTTTTTCCATCATTAGAAGGACGTAGTTACAAAACATGAATCTAGCATTCATTCTTTGTCAATTCATTTGTTATGGCATCAGAGATGAAGAAATAACAAATCATGTATAAATTGCACTGAAATAAAGCCTAACACATTCACACTTTTCTTACACAAAAAGAAAAAGGACAGGACAGTGCATCAAACGGCCTCTAACACACACAGACATGTAGGCTGTAAATAATTAACACTGCACTTCAGAACATAACTCTTGCTTTGTTTAGTAATAAAACGCAAAAACTACAAAAGTCAATTTGCGGTAGCCCTTAGGGGTAAAGTCAAGTTAGAAAACAGTTGTTCGGTTGTAATTACATTCAAAATAACAGAAGTAGCCGAGTTAAGACTCGGCAATGTGAGACAAATGTGAGAGTTTTTGTGATGGTGGAGTTGTGTAGTGTAGTTGTGTGAGCCTGTGGCACAGGCTTCCCATGCTGTGTGACAGTCTCACAAAAGGCCTTCAGAAATTCAATCATTCACACACTGTACTACAGTGCTATTGCTCAGCTTTTCTCCCTAATGAATGTTGTAGCACAACACCTCCTTCGCTCAGTTTGAGATTTCTGCAAACCAACTGCTAAATCCTGACTCTGCCATTTGCTGGCTAGTTGGATTTAAGCAGTTTTTAATGTATTTCAACGTATCAGGGCTATTTAAAAAACAAATATGATTACTGTGTGACAACTTCAACAACCTGCAATGTTTATGTCAGAAGAGGCGTAATCCTCCCACTGTCAAAGAAGCTTTCTGGTGAAAATTTGGCAGCAACATAAGCTGGATAAAACAGAACAGGGACAATATAAGAGAACAGCTTCATCGGTATATGTGTGTGAGTGTGTGTGTGTGTGTGTGTGTGTGTGTGTGTGTGTGTGTGTGTGTGTGTGAGTGAGTGCGTGTGCTCAGCTGTCCCAGTCTCCACTGTGTGTCTCGTCATCTCCCCTGTCGTCCTCATCAGAGTCGGCTGCCACCTTCTTCATCCTCATCATGGCAGCTTTGATGCTGCGCTCCAGCTCGTTGTCTCCGCTGCTTAGGACCTCTGCACGTGCAGGAACCACCTATAGCACGACATGATAACAGTTTTCATTACAGTTCCATATTAATGAGTTTCTGCAGTGTTCACCAAAGTCAATTTAAGACTTGTTAAGACCTTTTTAAAACCACACAGAATGAAATTCTAAACCTTTTTTCATATGGTTCAAAGAATAACAGAAAACAAACAACAAGGCTTACAGTTACGTCACAGCTGTGTGTAACAATAATTTCTAGTAATTGAATGAATCAGTTAACACGGCCTGGATCCATGTATGGGATTACTGTAGAACATCTCACCTTCTTCAGGGTGACTCCCTGTCGGATGGCGGACATCAGACTGCTCCTCGGGTCAGCAGCAGGGGGCGCTGTTCTGGGAGCGGGGACCTTTCGAAGCTGAATCTGTCCACGCTGCAGTGAGGCCAAAACTTCATCCATTGTTCCTACAGAAATACAACAATAAAGGAAAACAGACACTTTTACGATGATGGAAGAAGCTACATTGGAAGTGAAGAATTGAAATTGTTGTCACTTTTAATATCACTGCTGATGAAGCATCTGAAATTCGTCACTACAAAGCAGACTGCACAGAGCTTTCACCAAGTTCTCACTGGTGCACAATCTCTATTCATTTTTAAAAACAAGCTTCCTCTTGAATGACTTTCATTTCACAAAAGCTCCAAAAACTGAAGTTGTGCTGGACGTTACTGTCTCTCTGGAGCTGAGAGTGTGCATCAGCAGGATCACAACTGAGGTAAAATGCCTCCTCTGGCCTCATGGGGGAAGTTGGGAATTTAGGACAGAACACCATGTACAGGCATGTGCGTGCGCACACACACACGCACACACACACGCACACGCACATGCACATGTACACTCCCTCTCTCTCTCAAAGCACACTGTGGAACAAACAAACATGACCTTCCCAGTAGTCAGACAAATTCACACATCCTACTCCATCTGTATTGAATTTTTTCAAAATAAATGGACATCAAAACGATTTATCCTCTGGTGTCCATTTATTACAGACGCATTAACAGAAGAATTATACTGTATGTGTTTCACTCTCACCTATATTTTGTTTGAGCATGTTCTTGGCTGGGAAAGGAGGGTCCTCTTTTTCACTGAGAGGCATTGGTGTGTCCTCAGAGGAAGCTTGGGGAGTTGGAGGAGGTACAGCAGGGGGGAGTGGTGGAGGTGGTGGTGGTGGTGGTGGAGGGGGCGGAGGAGGAGGTGCAGAAGGGATATTTGTTGTTGGAGGCGGCGGTGGGGAATAGATCTGAACAGGGATGTCTTTAGGCTGCTGTTTCTTGGGTGCTTTGTTGCGTCGGGGTGCAGAACGGACGGAGGGGGGGGGTCCTTCAGAGGAGGGAGAGGGGCCGAGGCTGATGATGGACAGCGGCTGGGAGGGACACGGGACTTCTGAAGGAGACATCCTGGACTGAGGAGTTTTCAGGATGTACTGGCCCTGTCGCTTCTTGAAAAAGATGGTAGAAAAGGGGGTAAAACAGTTTAAGAAATAAGGACGTTATCTCAGGTTCTGAGAGAGACGGCAAAGACACAAGACGATGCCACACAACAGGCTAATGCTCTTCTGTTTTAAATAGGTCTCACAGTGACTTGAGATTTAACTGAAGTGACAGAGGGAATGTGCACAAAAATCTGAAACCATGATGCTGACATGAAGAGAAAATAAATCCTCCCAATCTGCTCGGGTTGGATGATCTTTGAAAACAAGAATTGTTTGTTTGGCAAAAACAATCTCGCCACTGAGTAGCTGTTCTGGACTGAGCTGCTCTGGCTATTTGTAAATCCATTACTGACTTCATTCGTGAAGTTGTTTCTAAGTTCTTAGTAGCTGCTAGCATGTCTCAAATGAGTGATTTCAGTAACACTTTTTTATGGGTCCTGTATTTTCCTGCTAGTTTCCTGGAAACTTTCCTCATAATTTCCTAAATATGAACTGGTATTTAGCTGCAAATTACAAGGGTATTTCCAAGATAGGCTTATGCAATTTGGTACTAATTACAAAGTGTTAGTTGGTACAATTATTATGTACCTTCTCCAGCTCGTTATATTCAAGTTTTTAAAGAAAAACTTAGGAAATTATGCAGCAGGTGAGAACTGACAGTGTCAACATTACATAGCAATTTCAATAGACTCCTCTGTTTACTGCAACACAAGAGTTTGCAGAGGAGAAGATCAGAGCAGAGCAGATAGAAGTGTGGAGTTAAGAACAATACACTTATTGTTCAACTGTAAAATATTCTACCACCAGAACATCTTCATCACAAATCCTTCACATCTAAATTTGGGGGATCGTTATTAAAAATCTTGAGTATTTAACATCAACCGCTTCATCCGAATTAAATCTTGTTTCAACAAGTCTCTAATCCATAAATACCAACACTTGTGCACCAATTAAGGTCCAAAATGCACTTCCTTATGTTATTTTATTCACTGTTGACCAGCTCTGGTGAAGGGGAGTTTTTCCTTGCCACTGTCACCGGGTGCTGCTCATGGGGGAATGTTGGCTCCATGTAAATAACATTATAAAGAGCACAGTCTAGACCTGCTCTATATGAAAATTGCCCTGAGATGACTTCTGTTATGATTTCAAGCCATATAAATAAAATTGAACAGAATTTAATTGAAAGACAGCATGTCCATAACCAGAGCTTCCTGTGATGTTGGGGCCGGGCAGTTAATAACTGAATTTTAATTTTGAAGGGAACTATTGAATTAAGCTGGTATGAAGCAGGAGGCTCTGGGGTTTTATAAACAAAGTTGAAGCTGCAGGGGGGGGGGGCAGACCAGAGACAATGAGAGCGCCTGACCTCTCTGAAGGATCGTAATCTGCTCAGAGTCTTCTCTCGCTCCTGGTCCACCCACAGTTTTCTCCTCTGCTCCTCTTCTTTCCTCTTCTCTCGTTTCTGCAGACAACAGAGGGAGACAGTGAGAGGTATTAGAGAAACAGAATTGGATCCAGTCTCATTTGTGGCTTCTGCCGGTGTCAGAGCATCTCTGTGGGTTGTCTTGTTGCTGTGGCGACGTACCAGGCGGACTTGATGATGCTGGTTGAAGACTTTGGAGCTCTGCTTGGCTGCCAGCTGCTTCTGTTCTTGGGCGTCCATGCACTGATCCTAAAGATACACACAAACATTAATACACGATATATTAACATTATCATATACTATATTACATACTATATAAAAACACAATTACAGTTTGACATGTACACACCATAGTCAGACATTCATGGATGTTTGGACAAATATGTCCTTCAAGGTTCAGAAAAAGTCACTGAAACTGAAAATGAGGAGCAAATAATGTCTCAGTTATTTGCTAGAGCTTTGTTTTTTACTGCAATGCTAAATATTCATGCGTGTGACTCTTGTTCCCTGTGGATTACTGGATGTGATTTGTGGGAGCCACTAACCAGGGGGCTCTTCCCACTTTGCTCTGAGCAATAAAATGTTTGTTTTTTTTTATTTTTTAAATCAGACAAATGAGCATACAGCCAGGGGAAGGAGAAATGCCAATTGCACCAACTGCACTTGAATTACTGTGAGCTAAAAATAAAACAATGTAGTAAAAACGATTGTAAAAAAAAAAAAACTTGCAGCATTTGGAGACATGAAGGGAATAGAGAGTGGGGCAAATGGAACCATCTTCTTTCATTAACATTTCCAACTATTTCCAATCTACTACTCAGATCAATACATTTGTCCTCCAAATGCCACAAAATATAATTTTTAAATGGGGCAGAATGTCTTTTGAAAAAATAATGAATGTCAGTCATACGCGCCCACACCTTTTTGTTACGGAGATAAGCTCGCCGGGCACAGATGTTGCCTCTCTTGGTCTCCAAGGTCTGTAGGCGTCTTTTGAGTTGACTGACGGCCGGAGAGTCTGCTTGTTGGATACCTGTGTGGACCATGCTCTGCAGCTCCTCTGGATCTTCACACACATCATAGTAAACCACCTCCTCCTTCAGTTCTGAAACACAAACGCAGTCGGGTCAGTCTGACACCTGTTCACCAGGAACTCCTCCAACTCATACAGTTATACCTCTACAGTTTCATTGTGCTTCATACAATATTGTGGAAACCAACTTCTCTGTTGTCATCACAAAGTCTCAATTATGAGAGTATGCACTGTGTATCTATATAAAGTATGTAAAGCTTTATGCCAGACAAACAAGCCAAGGAGTTCTGGCACAACAACAATCAAAGTTCACCCTAAACAGAGCACATTATGCCTCAGGTGTCACCCTGATGTCGACCGTAGTTGTCGTGTATATGTTTTTAAGAAATCTGATTATTTCCTGTTTTTTGGTAAACTTTCTTTCCGTCAACAGGAAAACTAGTGTCCTTTACGAAAATGCCCATTGATATACCTTTTATTTACATTATAAACTTTGAAATATGCCATAAACTCAGAGCAGCCTCCTTTCATTCACATACTCTCATCATTTTTTTCTGTCCTCTTGCTTCCTTTACTGGTAGAGGAAACACCTTCCTGCTTTTCGGTTGAGAAAATAAACCTGAAACCAGTCAGTGTCAGGACACACAGAGCCAAAGACACCACACGCAAGTAAATACACAGCATGTACTTACACACAACTTGGAAGCAAACATCCCACGTCCCAGGAGGAGCAATTAGGGAAATATTTCCATGAACAAAATGTTTCCCCAAAGTAAAACCCAAGCACAATACACTAAGTGACCAGAAAAACAAAAAGTACATCATGTAATCCAGTACAGCACTCCTGCAATAAACATGTTGTCATTTCTAATGATAACTGACACTGTGTGAGTAGAATGTCGCATTATATTGCGAGGTGTGTTTAGTAGTAGTGCTTAAATGAGGTGGGCAAAATATTGGAGACACCTTTCAATGAAACCGACGTATCACTGAGTCAACATAAAAAACACATGCATTTTTAAAGGGCCAGTTCACCGAATTAAAATTGAGATTAAAATTAAACACATTTCCCCGCTTACCTCTCTATCAGAGGTTTTCAAACTGGGAGCAGCACCTGTCTGCTTTGCCGTACTTTTTAAGGTGTCAAAATGTGAAAAAATATGGGCTAAAAAAAGGGGACTCAAATTGTGGCTTCGCTGACCTGTCCCTTTTGGTGAGCTAGGATTAATTGCAGGGCTGTATTTTGTTCAAACTTTTCTATTTTAGCAGGCATTCACCGTATTACTGTATTAGTTCAAATACAGTGTTCAGGCAAGGATGGAAATTAGCGGGAGGACCTTATGATTCCAATTACAGTTTCACAGTGTGAGACAACCTTGAACCCTTTCTCTCTGCTCTGCTCTTCACTATTTTGTACTTAAATCTTTTGGTTTTATGATTTATGAATGTTATTACAGAGTTGTTATACGGAGTGCTTTACAACAATTTTGCTCAATGGGTGGTGGTATGTTTCAAACTCCCTCTCTCTCCCTATAAACCAGATGTAGCCTACACATCCACTGTTCAGCTCTGTGCTACTTAAATGCAGTGTAAGTATACCTTTAATCTGCCGTCGCACCGTGTCTATCTGAGCCACCAGCAGCTGCTCCTCATTCTTCAGGACCTCAAACTTGGTGTCGTACAGTTCTAGTTGGGTTTCATAGAACTGCAGCTCCAGCTGGTCCACTGTGTCCTGCTGCTGGCCATCCTCAGACGCAGACCCAGAATCAGCTCTCTGGCTCTGGACTCCGCCAGACAGGCTGCCCAGCTGCAACACAACAACAGAAAAATTCAGGTCAGCCCCATTAAAGCATCATACTGGTGGCTTTGTATAGTACAGTCTCTTACGTACATACTGAGTACATATTGCTGACCATCTTCTAAATCAGACCATATGTTTTGATTTAGCTGCTGTTCTCCATTTGTGTAAGTATGTAGTTAACCTTAACTTGCAGAGACGTTGAGGCTTGATACACTAGTCTCTCAGAAAGATGGCGAGGCTCTCTTCTTTCTGTGGTCAAAGACACCTTGAATGAACTTTACTTAAAGAGTCAGCTGTCCAAGTTTAAGCTATTTAGTGAAAGAATATCCACCACATTATCCTCTACAGTACTTTTCTCATCGTTTGCCTGCTGGGTTTCATTTTTGACACAGCAGCTTGTTAATGTCATACTTTTTGACAGCATACTCAAATTCTGGATGTGGGAGTGTCCTTGAATAAGATAACAAGGATTTTTTTCTTTTTTTTTATAGTCTCAGCTCTTAACTATGTTACTAGGTGAAAAAAATAAAGCTGAGGGTCTGTGATTGATAATATATCGGAAACGAGTATAATCTCCGCAATTTGACTTTCATACTGTGATGAAATGAACTGAAACCAACAGCTACCTGCAAGATAGTGCAGTCATGTTAAGTATACTTGATATGTAGTTAATGATTCAAAGCATGTGTACGTACTTAAATACTTAAAGTTATGTCGAATAGAAACACACACACTGTTTGGATATGACACAAGTGCTGCAGAGATTGAATTAATTTGGGATTACATCCAGCTCATTTCACACATACATAAACACACAATCTAAATGTAAAGGAGTCATGCTGTGACATCTGTAGGAACACCAGCGCACTCGGCAGAGCTACCGAGTTATGGTGCCACAAGAGTCTGAGTAGGTGTAGTTTACTGATCTCATCAGAAACGCTCACACACAGCTGTCTCTGTAAAGGCTCACGTTGATTTCACAGTGGTAGACACTGCCAGCATTCTGAAACCTGATTTTTAAAGAGCTTAATCGGATGAATAATGCAGCCACATGAAGGTGAAGGTGCTGAAGGTGTTCTCTGTTCTCTTCTGAAAAACTCAAACGCACAGCACGACACCCCATAGCAGCAAGTACTTCACTACAGTTTTCCCAAAGTACTGTGATCCTAACATTACAAATATGGTCCCCCTGTAGTCACTGATGTGCATGCAGCTCGCACGTTTTGAGTATGCATAGACACACAGACACACTCACTTATCTATGCATGCAGGTTTTGGGGGTGTATCAAGGGGATTCTCTATGTTTTTAGAGAGGCTTTATAAATAGATCAAAGGACTTTAGATTCACATCAGACTGGAATACCAAGTGAAAGACACATGAGGGCAAGCAGGCACTGTGCCACATCTCTTCAAACTTACAACCAGTACAAAAGCAGTGCTGGCCTTGGCACTGGAAATACAGATCTAAATGACAGCTAAAGCCTTTGACAGCCTTATAACTGTGTCACAGTCCAATAAAACATTATGGAATATGCTGACTGATTACAGAACCACTAGAAAAACCACTGCTGCATGTGTTGTTCAAAGAACTGTAAGACACACACCCTCTCTCTGATGCTGTCTTTCTTGCGGTTGAGGCACATCTCTGTAGCTCTCATGTGCTGCAGGGTTTCTTTGGCCAATAAGAAGCGTAGTTTCTCCAGCCGGGGAGCTGCAGACGCCCAGGCAGCCGGTCCAAAGCGACACTTATCCTCCTCCATCTGCTTTAACATACCTGGACGTTTATGTACACAAGTGTCTGTTATGTATGTCTGCATCACACAAAAAGCACATTCAGTATACTGTATATTACCATGAAAGAAAAAGAAAAAAGAAATTTGATTTTAAAAGTAAACCACTGATCAATACTGCCAATACTTTACAAAGTTAGATGTAATCGGTTTGTGTTGTTCAAGGCATTTCAGGAGCTGCTGTGAGTGTTGTGATATATATTTGCTATTTTCCTTAAACCTATATAGACATAACTACATTTGCCAACCAAATAGTTTGTGGACTTCATCTTGGAAATACAAATTACCCAAATTAAAGGTGGCTGCCTAAAAATTAAGATTTTTGATTCAATCTAAATGTAGGAGGGGCAGTAAAATACTTATTTAGTTCATCTTAGTTCATTTTCAACAATTTACTGTCTGTGTCTCAAAATAACAATGTGTATTGTATTTGGACTTTTTCATTATTTGAATGTTAGATGACATATATCATCAATATGTTGCTTGTATGCAGTTCCAATGCAGCTTGTGACCTACAGCAGTTCTTGTCCCCTGTGTGCAGAGAAATGACTCATAAAAGTCATTAATTAAGTCATCCATACGCAAATAAGCAGCAACACAGCAACTTATACCAGCCAGAGCCTTTGAAGTCTGCGTAAAGTAGGTGACAGTGATGTCCTGAATTGAGGCGACTGCATCTTCTGCTTTCATTCTCCACTCCTCCGCCTCCTTCTCCAGAGCTGCAATTCTCTTAGGACCCAAGTCCTCAAACTCCAAAGACTTCTGCAGGGAGCAAAAACAGTGGACAATTATTTTCTTACAGATACTTAACCCACATACATATTTACATATATATATATACATATCAGCTTTTAGTCAATTTTAATTTAGTTTAGTTTAGGTAGAGGACATCCTAAAAAAGCAGCTAAATATATGGCTGTATTTACCAGGATCTCCATCTTGTAGAGGCAGGCCAGCTCTCTCATGTCCCTGAAAGGCTGCAGCAGATACTGGAAGAAGGTGGTGGCCACAGTGACCAGGTCTTGGTAGGACTCGTCTTCTTCCTCATAGATGCTGAGTAGCACAACCATTCGGTCTGCGCTGCCATGACTCTGCAGCAGCTGTAAACATGAAGGACATAAACACTATTATATGCTCTCGTCTTTCAGATTAACTGGACAAAAACAAACCTTTCAACAGGGAGCTGTTTTTAATCATATCTGTGCACACTAATATAGCAATAAATATTAGTCCTTTCAGTATACAACGTTCATAACCAGGCGGGCTGAAGGTTGACTGGTGAAGCCAGAGATTAGTGGTTCAGTACCAGTTGATACCTGGAGTCATTTCTCTGACACTCGCCACTGAAGTCAAACACGTTTTCCTCCTCAAATCTGGTATTAACAAACCATTTGACACCTTTACACCACAGACCTTGTCTGCACCTAGGTCATCTTGATCAATAAATGAAATGCTGTCAGGTAGAGGGGAGAATGGGGTTGGTTGAAGTAGGTAATAATAGACATAGTGACTGTACAATATGACTCCTGAAGGTTCTTGTTACATTTCTGTGTTCAAATAACTTCAATTCATATAAATGTCAAACGGCTGGCAAAGCTCACTGACTGAAAAACAAACATCAGTCCTGTTAGTGTTGCAACATCTAGAGCATTTATACAGCAAGGCTTTGCTGTGTCATTGTAGGCCCGTTTTCAGACTTGTAACACCACTGTGTGGTGCTAGTCCTGCATGGTAACATTCAAAAGCTTACAGGTTTCCCAAGCTTTACTAAATCCGCAATCCCTTTGTCTTTTACTCAAGTGAAACATTCCTTCTTATATAATATATATTTTTGGGGGCATCAAAGATTGTCTTGTCAGCTGTGGTGCACACAGGCAAGAGGTTTAGAAGAAGGCAGGAGCAGTTCAAACTATGCTGACATTAGTAAAGCACTGTTCAAGATCATACACCTCTTCTTCTATGAGCAAAACAAACACCAGCATTAACTTGTATTGCGTCATCATTAATAATAATTCAGCAGTACAGTATGAATTGTAAAAACACAGCTAAACAAATGCAGTCTCCGATTTAGTGTTATTTGAAACTGTCAGTGGAAGAAGTACCATTTACTTAAGTGCAGAAATATTCAGTTACAAATAATAGTCCTGCATTCAAAAAGTACAAAAGTATTAGCATCAAAATATAAAGTACCAAAAGTAAGTAAAAGTACTAATGATGCAGAGTAAGATTGTAAGATTATTATTGACGCATTAATGTGTAAGCATCACTTTAATGACACAGCTGGTAAAGGTGGAGCTAATTTTAACTGCTTTAAATACTGCTGGGTAGCTTAATCTATAATAATAGGCCTACGTCATGACTTTATTCTCTGTTATATTTTGTATTAATAATCTGAATCTGTAAATTGGCTTGCAGCAATGGCTGTCATATAAATGTGGCAGAGTTAAAGTACAATATTTGCATTTAAAATGTAATGGAGTATAAGTATAAAGTAATATAAAATGGAAATACTCTAGCAAATTACAAGGTTCACAAAACAGTACTTTAGTACAGGACTTGCATAAATGTACTTAGTTATTTTCCACCACTGCACTGATATTATCAAGATGTAATAAAGTGGCTGAGGATTTAAATACCCGTGGTCCCTCAACACAACCACACTGATGTGACAGCTCATTTGATCCCGCCCACACCCCCTCACCTGTCGCAGGTGTCCCTTGGCCCTAGACATCTCCTCCTGCATGGTCTTCCTCTTGAACTCCTGCAGATTTTCAAAGTATTCCTCAACATCCCGCTCATCCTGGGTGAATAACGTATCGAGAACAATTTTCCGTCCACAGATATCAATGGCTGTGCTGAAATATTTTTCCAGTTTCCTACACGGTGAATCAAAATCCCTGTCATCGTCGTCTTCGGCACCCGACCGCCGATTCAGAAAGAGCAAGTCCCAAATGTTGCCCTCTTCAAACTCTGACAAATCTGGGAAACAGGCTCCCAGGACGTCTGCCACACATGAAAACTGTTGATGGATGTGTTTCAGATCGCTCACGGAGAAGAGTCCAGCCCAGCTCATCGGAGGGTCGCCGACGACAACTTCGGCTTTGCGTTTCTGTCGTTGTAACGTCCGATTATGGCAGGTGACAGCGAATTTACACTCGATGACATTCCACTGTACGATAAAGCCCAGCTTAAACGTCTCCGTTTCTTCAAATATGTTGCTTTTAACGGCCACCCAGCCCTCCAGACTATCCAAGCGCTCATAATCTACGTTATTCATCTTAAAAAGAGCTGTTTCACTTTGGCCTCTGAGAAGCTGCTGGCTCTGTTTACAACGTCCGCCATTTGTGTGACGCAAGATGCTTTCAGGTGCCTCAAAAATATTGGGAATTATCTTTAAATCCAACGTTAAAGAATAAAATCTAAAGTTAATTGAAGTTGGTATGACAGTTATTGAAAATACAGTCGATAGAGAAGAGAAGACGAAAGCCATGTAGCTTTGTAAACATTACTTGGCCTAGAAATCCATCTTAACACCACTACTAGTATTGATAGCACGCAATTTCTCCCCAGTAACCTTCCTGTCAGTGCGCAGCAGGACAGCGTTGCTTGATTTATACGTCAAAGCAACAGTTCCAAAAAACTACCCGCTTTCAACTTTGATGACAGGGGTACTAAAAGAGCAGGTGAGTTCACAATTTAAATTATAGAGTTTGAATGACCGAGAGGGGAGTTTACGAGGAGCGTTGAAAGCACCATCAGGGCATTGTGTTCAACTTTAACCTTTGAATCACATGTTCGGGGATTTCCAGCTCTTTATATCAAAGAAATTAACAAACTGGCTCTAATTACAAGGGTTTTTATGATGTTTAAAAGAACTCAGGCCTCTAACTAGTCTAACTTGTCAAACTGTATGGTTTGTTCAGTAAATAACTAATTTCCTGCAGGCATGTTTGACATGCCTCTGACATTTGAGCTGAGTCCAATCTATTTTTGTCACAGCGTCTGGGTGAGGGTTGGACTGCTTACAGAGTTGACTTGTCGGACAGCACTGTTGGCCTGATATGGTTGTTTAGACCAAACAGGATTATTGAATTATCCAGGTAAATTTGATCTCAGTTACTTGTCACTATCAATAATTTGATTAATTGCTTGTTCTGCACAGGCAAGTTGCTTGGTTCAGAGCGTAGTTTTTTTTTTTTTTTAAGAGTTCTCACATGCTGTTGTGTTCATTTTGTTTAGACATTATTTGATGCAGGGTTTTTAGAATATTCTAAGTGGTTGATTCTGTTTAGTTTAGAGTAAATAATGTTGAATTAGACTGATCTTGTATAAGAAATCATAAATGAGTTGTGAAGCTCTGTCCTCCCCCAGTCACTCTCCTCATGGACCTGTATGAGATCAGAGGAGGCAGACTGGATGTGATTACAGAAGAAGCTGAGCACCAAGACTTAAGCAGAGAGTCGAACACCATGGAGCCCTACAAGGTGGCTTCAGCCAGAGGAGGAAGGGCTACCCGAGACATTTCCACCTTGCAGAGGTTCTCTGTCGGCACCAACGAGTCCCTTCGCTTTGAGCCCTGTGAGGACAGCCCTCCTTCTCCCACTGGGGCAGAAGATGGACTTGATGATGATGATGATGTGTTTAGAGAGGGAGAAACCGAGGTGGGGACTCTAACATAGCTTTGGCCCTTGATGTACCAATTAAATATTTGATATTTTCTGATTTTATTTGACCTCTGTTAAACCAAAATTGATTCTTGTGAGGATCAGTGAAAAAGCAATCCATTAATAACACTTAAAAACTGTGGACTAGAGATATTCTTTGTAGTGAAAATTAAATAATTTGCGTGTATATACTATAAAATAAATGAACCATATATATATAATTCCCACCCAATATATAGATAATAAAGCCCTACAATTTATATATATATATATGTATATATTTTACCAAACCACAGACACCACAGACATGAGCAGAAAGACCTGACAGAACATGCTGAAAAATAGTGTGTTTCTGGTTTGTATTAAAAAGAGAAAGGCTACAATTGTGACTCACTGTTGTTTTCAGAGTGAGATTGTCATGACCAGGAATCACCTGCAAGGGAAGGTTGCTGAGATGGAGAACTTTGCAGGTCATCTGGAGGAAATCTTTCTCACTGTGGAGGTAAATATAACACTCCAAGTCTTTCAGTTTAGTGAAACAGATTGTTGTAATGTGTTTTGACATTGATTTATTATTTTATGGCTATTTGAGCATTTGGGAATATAACTTTTTATTGTTATTTTGTTTTATAGAGCTTGAAGACAGAAATAAAGTTCACAATGCCAGATTTTATATTTCAAACTGTAAAGTGTTGAACTAAAGAAACAAACATGTCCATTTCATTCATCACCTCCCTTGATCTAACATCCAGTCCTCATTTTTCTTTTCTTATTTTGTTTAACACATAACAAATGTCTAAATCTCTAACTGTGCAACTATGATCATATAAATGTATGTACAGGAGAACTTTGGCCGTCGGGAGCAACATTTGGAGCAGCACTACAACGATGTGCTGCAGACGCTGTCTCAGCGATATGACGAGAGGGCAGCTGGGCTGGAGGAGGAGAAGAAGAGCAAGCTGGAAGCTCTGTACAGACAGCTGCTGGCATGTGGTCAGGCGCTGGATGCCTCCAAGGAGCTCATTGAGACAGCCCAGGAGATCTACCGCAGCCGGGACAAAAGGCTTTTCCTGAAGGTGTGTGTGTGTGTGTGTGTGTGTGTGTGTGTGTGTGTGTGTGTGTGTGTGTGTGTGTGTGTGTGTGTGTGTGTGTGTGTGTGTGTGTTTGTTTGTGTTTGTGTGTGTGTGAGTGAGTGTGCAAATTTGGCAGAAATGTCCATTTGGAGTCGAAGATGAACTTATTAGATTTGGTGGACAAAGGTCAAGGTCATTGTGACCTCACAAAGCTTATGTTTGGCCTCTTGAATGGTATATCTCAGTAACGCCTTGAGGGAATTTCTTCAGACTTGGCACAAACATTCACTTGGACTCAAGGATGAACTGATTAGAATTTTGGCCATAACTCACAATTCATATGCTGATTATGACACAATTTAACACAAACGGCTAATAGGATAAAATGATGAAGCTATGACGTTTTATATCCAAATGGTCAAAGATCAATTTCACAGTGACATCATAATCTTCTGCAAAAACACTTCTGGCTATTATTAAACACCTTAACTCTGGAAGGGGAGATATTGACTATTAATTCAACTTGGCTGGTTGGTGGAAGCATATGACCGTGAGGCAGTAATTCTACTGTTATATTTCTGCTGTAGAATAAAGCATGACTTGTGGATATGAGGTATTGATTAGAATTTCTACATTTATTTACTGTGTTGTTCAGTTGCTTTCTCTGACCTTTTGTTGACAGACAGTAATGCCCGCCATTAAAAGGTGATTATGATGCTGCTCAGTGAGTAGAGGTGTGACACTGCATTGTGATTTCGAAAGACTAACCAGACTAATGTTATAGTAGACTGATTTTCAACTAAAAGTAAATTCTTGGCTTTGCAAAAAGTAGTTTGACAAGTCCACTTACTAGCTTTTTGCAGAGTATTGAGATAGCTTAGTTTCCATGATATGGGGATAGTCGGTCTTGATGACAACCGAGAAATTTCCATCCACTGCAGAAGTGGATGAAAGTTTGAAAGCTCAAGGAAAAGCTAGTAAGAGGATCTTAAGTTTTTGAATTGAATGATCTGAACTGATCCAGATGAATGGCATGACACAAGTTTCTTTAACTTTATGTTAAATCTCAGTATTCAGAGCTCTTTTTTTTTTTTTTTTGTACCACACCAGGATCGAGGAGTTTGCCAAAGAGGAGCCTGACCTCAAGTTGTCTACACATCTTGAGTTGAACACACCACTCGCTGACCTGTCGGATGTGAAAACCATGATGGACTCCATCAATGTTGTTCCAGGTTTGATTCACAAAGAGATAAAGGTTAATGTTCTTGTCAATATCTGCACAGTTTCCTTTGACAAATTGTGCTCATGAACACCTTAGACTGTCTATAATATGGAGGTAGATTTGTTTCAATATTTGTGTGAACGGATTGACAATCCATGCGTAAATTTGTAATCTCTAAAATCCACAAATACAAAAAATTAATTTGCAAATTCACTGAATATCCTGCAAATATAAAACAGATTTGCAAATACACAAATTCCATGAATAAAGAAAATGATCTGTGCATACATTTAATTAATTTACAAATAAACTAAAAGCATTTATGAATATCTTCCTAACATTTCCTTAACAACTTTCAAACAGACATTTGTGAATCAATTTTCTATTTGTGAAGCGAAAAAGCATTTGTGGATCTCAATTCTACGCTTGTGGATTTCAATTTTACACACACAGAATTTTGAAACAAACTTTCCGACAGTCTGAACCAAAATCGACTTGTAACACTCAGCCACTTTCGGAAAATCATCTGCTGATGACGCCATATCTGCTTTTCAAAGTAAGAGCACATTGTCCTCTATGTGTTGTTTTTTCCCCGAATAATCGGTGACAAGTAACGTGCACTACGTTAATGATTGTAAGATATGAAGTGACAGCTTAAGGTCTTTAATAGATTTTTTAATATGTAGGCTAAGCTAACATTAACTACAAAAACAGCACCTGTTCCCATGGCGATAGTAAACATTCATCTAATGGAATGAGGGAATGAAAGGAGGGTGTTTGAATTTTTACATTATGATGATTATGAAGATACATTGTAAACAGACCACATTTCATAACCATCTAACTTGTAAAGAGATAACTGGTGTCATTTCTTTACCATTGAGTTCATTTGCTGTACATTGCTCAGTCCATTTGCTGTTTACATCGTAATTGGTATTTTCTACATGTAGGCTATACTCAGTTGCCAGTTATCGCCATTAGTCCTGTGCAGTCAGTAGACCAGCCAACTTGTCTCTTACAGATGGTAATAGCAAGGCCGGCCCAAGGCATTGAAGGATTGGTAACTATCCAATTGCCTATACTATGACAGTTTTTGACATTTTCATGCCATACTTTACTATGACATTTTTTGATGTTTCAATGCTTTACTATCCTATGACATATTTATGCCTTACTGAAAAAATGATATCTTGTGACAGAAAGATGAAAAACACCACACAATCAGACTGAGAAGTAACAACAACTCGGTATCTGACACATATATGCAGTCATACATCATTTATATTCTAAAATCAAAGTTATTTGCATGTAAAACAATTGATACAATACGTTATTCTATGCCCTACTACACTATGACATTTTTTAACGTTTTAATGGTTTACTATACTATGACATTTTTATGCCTTACTATACTATGAAGTTTTTATGTCTTACCATACAATGACGTTTTTTGACATTTTTATGCCTTACTATACTATGATATTTTTTTACTTTTTTATGCCTTAACATACTATATTTTTTGACATTTTTATGCCTTACTATACTATGACGTTTTTATGCCTTACTATACTATGACATTTTTTGACATTTTTATGCCTTACTATACTATGACATTTTTTGACCTTTTTATGCCTTACTATACTATGACATTTTTTGACATTTTAATGCCCTACTATACGATGATGTTTTTATGCCTTACATGCCTATGACATTGTTTGACAATTTCATGGCTTACTATACTATGACATTTTTTGGCATTTTAATGCCTTACTATACTATGACATTTTTTGACATTTCAATGCCTTACTATATTATGACATTTTGTGACGTTTTTATGCCTTACTATACTATGACGTTTTTACGCCTTACTATACTATGACATTTTTTGATGTTTTTATGCCTTACTATACTATGACATTTTTTGACATTTTAATGCCTTACTATACTATGATGTTTTTATGCCTTACTATACTATGACATTTTTTGACGTTTTTATGCCTTACTATACTATGATGTTTTTATGCCTTGCTATACTATGACATTTTTGACGTTTTTATGCCTGACTATACTATGACATTTTTTGACATTTTAATGCCTTACTATACTATGATGTTTTTATGTCTTACTATACTGTGACATTTTTTGACGTTTTTATGCCTTACTATACTATGACATTTTTTGACCTTTTTATGCCTTACTATACTATGACATTTTTTGACATTTTAATGCCTTACTATACTATGATGTTTTTATGCCTTACTATACTATGACATTTTTTGACGTTTTTATGCCTTACTATACTATGA